GTATCTATTATCATTTCTGTTATTACAATAGTTATTCGACCATTCTATTTTCTTTTGTGGGGTCTTACCATGAGCCAAGCATGCTAACATACACCTGTTTTCTCTTGTGTATGTCAGATTTAGAGGACAGACAGGTCCAGTATGGAGGTGCCTCACAGTCGGAGTGTATTCCAGATGGAGCAGAAGAGCAAGCTGGAGTTTAGACTTTTTCTTATACAGTTGCTGAGAGATATTAAATTTCTTATGTAGTATTATTTTTCTTTTAGTATTCAATGAATTTTTATTTATTTCATAGTACTTCTTTTATACTGTTGGACTATGTATTTTTATATTTTGTTGGACTATTTTGTAATAAGGGCACGTTTGACCCAAACTTTATGTCTCAGATGTTATCCCATTTGTGATATGACCTTTCTTTATTCTGAGTTATTTATTATATTATTGCTAATTGTGATCGGTGACCTGTGACTTCACATTGTATATTGCTTGACACTTAGCGTATTAGGTTAAGAAGAAATATTTATTTTTATTTATTCTCCTTAATGTGACGCCCCTGGTTTCACACAAGGCTGCAGTCCGAGGTGAACCCAGAAATGTCAAACCTGTCATGCACCACGCCGTGCAATAACATGTTTCACCATCACAATTTCTATCTCTCTAGTGGAATGAACAACAGGTGTAGTACAAAGCAAGTAAAAGGTTATACGAGAATCAACTGATGAAATAATAGAGATCAAATTAATATTTCACCATCTAATATGTTGGAATACAAATAAATGTCTGAAATAAATAAACTGGAGTTCTCATCAAGTCTCAAATACAAAATGTCTGACCAGAGAAAATAAGGCACACAGCCTTTACAACTTCTAGAATAAAACTCTCAAATGTCTAAACAGAAGTCTACAGTGGAGCTCAAAGAAAATATAACTAAAATAGATGGCTGAAGCTAAAGTACATCGACGTCAACCTGCGACTCTTTGGGCTCCTGGCTCGTTACCTGAAAGGGGGAGGTACAACGAGCGTCAAAGCGCTAGCGAGCAACATCACAACCAACCCCAAGGGATAGGGCTCGTTGTACATGAAAATACAGTTAATACATAATAATATAAATCATTTACACAATCATTTATGGGTTTTAGTACTTAGGGAAATACAACACGAGCATAGGTACGTCGAGCGAAATAATCTAAACAAGGAAACCCTCATGAATATACCTTGTATCTCAAATTGTAGATCCCTAAATATTAAACCCGAGGTTGGTCATTAGAAATAAATAAAGAAAAGAATACATACTCATATCTACCAATAAAGTGTAAACATGATAAAGATACAATAAGTTTCATGCACAACCTAGGTAGCTATCATGTCCCATCCTAATACAACATATCATGTACCCAACTTGATTACGTAACATGCTCAAGGTTTAGCAAAAGTCTAAAACATGATTAAAAATGAATTATAGTCCAACATGAGCACGAGGACTCTAATGGATTATAGTCCAACACGAGGACTTTAATGAGTTATAGTCCAACACGAGGACTTTAAGGGATTATATTCCAACACGAGGACTTTAATGGATTATAGTCCAACAAGAGGACTTTAATGGATTATAGTCCAACACGAGGACTGAAAGATGAATGCATGTCCAACACATGGACTATATATAACTTATGCCAACGTGCATGATGCATATGTATGAAAAGGTACACATATACTAGTAACACAAATATCTCAGTATGCGGGTCTAAACTGATATCATAATATTACTCACATATATAGATAAATGTTCCATACTGTAATAACATCTCGTGACCTCTGTTCAGATTCCCAGACCCTGCTCATTCCGACCCCAGAGCCCTCTCTCTCCCCAGACGAATCCTCCGACCCCCAGAGCCTCCTCCGACCCCCAGAGCCCTCTCCTCCCTTCTCGTCGTCGAGCCCAGAACCCACGCCCTCTCGCCGTCGAGCTCCGCAGAACCCACACCCTCTCGCCGTCGAGCAGCGCCGACGCCCTCTCGCCGTCGAGCTCCGCAGAACCCAAACCCTCTTCCTTGAATCAGGTTCGTTTCTCGCCGTCGAGCTCCGCAGAACCCAAACTCCCCTCCGACCTCAGAGCCGACGCCCTCTCGCCGTCGCCTTCTCCTCTGACCCCAGACTCCCCGACGCCCTCTCGCCGTCGAGCTCCGTAAAACCCAAACTCTCTTCCTTGAATGAGGTGCGTTTTTATATTCTTGCTTGATTTAGGGCTTTTTGACGTGGGTTGTTGATGTTTTAAGCGATTACATCTTGTTGATGTTTTAATTTTGATTTATGGACAGATTTCATCTTGTTGTTAGTTTTGTTGGAGACAGATTTCATCTTGTTTTAATTTTGATTTATAGACAGATTTCATTTTGTTGGAGACAGAATTCATATGATCCCATTTATTTGAACCAAACATAAATTGTGCCCAGACGGAATTGTTTGTGGAGGTTGGATCTGTAACATAAATTCAGCAATAATTTTTGTATAATTTTTGTATAATTACGCTACTTTTTAAGGGGGTTTTAGAAAAAACCCTAATAAACAAACCTGGTTCCTTTTGTTTTCTTCCTTTGTTCCTTTTACCTCTGATGCACGTTTCATCTCCCTTGTAGAGATTGTATGAAATTTGAACTGCATTATACATTCATGAACAGGATTGTGAGGATTATAAGTGCACGCTTGGCTATTTGAGGTGTCACGTAGATTATCAATTTATCACGAAAGGTTAATTATAGACCCCCTGTACAACACGTTATGCCACTCATTACGCCTTTAGAATTGCAAATAAACCTTCTAATGCTGAATGATCATCAGAGATTTGTGAAGGACAGAGACTTTAAAATTTGCAAATAAACCTTCGGATGCCGAATGATCCTTAAGAGGCTTGTAACAGACAGTACTACTGTACTATCACGCTCCTCACCGTCTGGTCCATCTCCGCCACAAACTCTGCTGTTTCCGACGGAGAGGAGGCGTGGAGGGCACTGGCGGCGTACACTTGACATACCTGCTGATATCAAACTTAAATGTAGACCTGGCTATAACTTCATATGGATGCACATATTCTAATTTGCTCTTTAATATGATTGTCTGGTTAAACTTTTGGTTAAACTTTTGTATCTGTAGCCGTGGATCATGGAGTCATCTTCAAGCAATCGTCGTGCACTGTTGTGCCATTGTGGAAGGAGGGCTGTACTCTCCAGATCTGGAACTAAGAGGAACACCGGTCGATTGTTTTTGGGATGCGCGAATTGGAGAGAGAGTAGTTGTGGATTCTTCAAATGGGTGTATGATGAAGAGGAGTTTGAAGGTTCAAAGGCAGAGCTTGTTCAGATGAATCAGTCGAGCGTGACGCCACAAGTTTCAAGAACCGTGTCAAGTGGGGAAGTGTGGGAAAGGAGAAAGCTTTCCCTTGATATTATGGATTTGTTGAAGCTTGTTGTATTTGCTTTTTTATTTGGTATTTTTTTCAGTTTTGTATTTTGTATTTTTATTGGATTTCTACTAAGTAGGGTGTAAGAATGTATTATTGGATTTGTTTAAGTGTATGTTCTCTGCATGTGTATTAAATGCAACCCAGGTTTATGTTGAAGTGTATGTTCTCTGTTCTCTACATGTGTACTAAATGCAACTTAGGTTTATGTTGAAGTGTTATGTTCTCTGCATGCCAATGCTTATCAATGGTAATAATTTTGCGGATGAGTAGTATATTATCAATGCAGTTATATATCAATTAGCGCACGGAACAGAGAACTCAGGTGCTATGTTATATATCAATGCAGTTACATATTAGTAAGTACCGCATAGTAGCCAAAACTGGAGCATATATAAGTGATGAGAGCAATTTCAATTGCTCAAGGTTTAACAAAGTTATCAGTCAACAGAAGGGCCCAAACTTTCTACTTTTATTCTTTCTGGCTTACTTGATGCACATGCTAAATCTTAATTCTTTAGCTGCAGTACTTGATGCACATGCTAAATCTTAATTCTTTAGCTGCAGATATTTACAAAAGCAAAAGGACACAAACTTGATGCATAGGATTTCCTGGATACATATCCACATAATAATTAGAAGAATGTTCAAAAATATTCATCCAAGCCATAAATCAGTTTACCAGTTTTTGTCTTTGTAGATGATGGTTGTACAACAACATGCATGATTATTATCCCTTCAGGAAGCTATTAACTATCCAGCAGCTATTAACTATCCAGCAGCATAACTATAACATGCATAACTATAACTTTTGAAATGAGATGGGAATGCAAGCAGTTGATACACTGTGCAAATTATAACATGCAGCATAACTATCCAGTAGTAGCAAACGTCCAAGCTATTAACAACAGAACCAAGCAACTACAACATGCAGCAGTAGCAAACGTCCAAGCTATTAACAAAGCATCATGACATAAAAGCAAACTTCACAGTGCAAACCTCTGCATGATGCACCATAACTATCCAACCTTTCATCACAAAGTCAGCAACAGAACCACCAAAAGATGAAAATAAGCAATAGTGTCTCAATCACTTGGGGTACCACACAAATACATAACCAAAGATACAAAACTAAACCCATTGGTGCTCTGCCTTCATCAACCCCTTCTCACCAATAGTGATGTGATTTGCTCTGCCAACCTTGATTAAACTTCACGCAATAGTGAGAACTTCATCTGTATTAAAAAAATTAAAAAACAAATTGCTTCATCACATTAAAAATCACATTATATAATACAAATGGCAATGTACAAGTTATTCCGTATGTATTAACCATTACCTTCCTCAAACGAATCTTCTAAATCATCCGTGGCTTCATCAATGTTATCTTGTTCCATTGAATCACTATTAAAAAAATTGATTATAGCAAAGCATATTAAAGATCATCGCACTAACTTAAAAAAAGTTTAAAGAAATAATAACTTTAGTATTACTAAAACAAATGATACACTACCTTGACAACTTTAGAGGGCAATTTCTGCTATCATGATTTTGTCCTCATTTTCCACACAATTTTGCATTTCCTAGGCCGGCATCTACGGATCTCTCTCGATGGCTTTAACCTCTTCCCTTTAGGCCTTCCTTTTGTTCTTGCTTGACTTGGTTCATGAACTATATCTTGAGAACACTCCTCATCCACATCTTGTCCAATTTCTTCATCATTGATGAGTTTCAAACGTTGCACCTTATTAATAGCACCCATCATCATTTCACGCATTAATTCATATGCATCATTAGAAGATAGCCCATCTTCGACCATTTCATTAGCTAAGCAATTTAGTTCACTAAAACGAGAAGCAAAATTAATTGTGGCATTATCTCCAATAATATTACCATCTCTAAGAACAACCCTTTTTCTGACATTTCGACACCATCTTCTTAGAATATATTGCTCCGGTAACTCACTATGATTGGTAATTTTAAGATATGCCAAGATATGTCGACATGGAATGCCCTTGAATTCAAACATGAAACACGACCAACGGACCATTTTAGTTGTTTTGCAATATATAATATGTCTCAATTTTTCATCATGACCACAAAAATTTAATTGGAAAGTACTTTCTCTTTCATTTTCTTTTACTAGCTCAATGTTATACATTAAGCTAGGTTGAAGCTCGTCTTGAAAAATATAAAAGATTTTTTTCGTGTAGATTTGGGCCATTTGTTTTTCCATTGACCATAAAGTCTTTAATTTTGGCTTTTTCTCTACTGTGCAATGATCTTCTTTAAGCTCCCCCTCTCTTTGTCTCGCCAAGACCCTCTGAAATATAGTCACGAAATCATGAAGTGAATTTTTCCTTGATATATGTTTTTTTAGCAATGCATTCATCCCTTCACTTCTTTGACTGCTAAACATGCCAGCCCAAAAGTATTGTTTATGATAAACAGGAGCCCATTTTTCACGAATTTCATAGATATCATTTAGCCAATCATGCTTTTCCAATCCATTTTTCTTAATAATTGAAACCCAATTCTCTTCAAAAGAGCTAGCATCGTCGGAGTCCCAAATATTTTCTTTGAAAGATTTTATAAATTCCGTTCTATAAGCCAATTGACCCAACTTCTCCGGAACTTTGTCCAAGATATGCCAAATACAAAACCTGTGCCGAATTTCTGGAAAAACTGTTTCAATTGCCTTGCATATTCCAAGACATTGATCTGTAATCATGCCCGAAGGAGGATGACCCATTGCTTCAATCCATTTGTTAAACAACCATACAAAAGACTTCGCCTTTTCGTTTGGGATCAAGCCACATCCTAAAAAACACTTTGCCAATGGTGATTTATGCCTACAAATGGAACAAATACCAAGCCATATTGATTTGTGTTATGTGTGGCATCGAAGGAGACAACATCGCCAAAGTGTTGATAATTCATTCGAGCAATGTCATCCACCCAAAAACAATGAGTTAAGCGCTTCTCTGCATCAACTTCATAAACATAATAAAATGAATGATTCTTCTCTTGTTCCGACTTGAAATGATCCAACATCAATTGTGCATCATGACCACGCCTCTCCTCTCTCAAATCTCTTTCATAATTTCTCACATCGGTCTCAATGCATCCAATTCTATGAAAACCTCCGCTAGAGTTTTCAAAGAAGGCCATTTGCTTGTTTGTTGGAATGTTCACCTCTCCAAACTGCTTTATCAATGTCTTCTTCGCACTTGTTACCTCACGGTTTCCCCTTAGAAAATGTGTTCTACTCGGTGAAGTAATTGTATGATTATGTTCTTCCACGAACTTGTAGACACTCCATATGCCATTGTTTTTGTCTAATTTCAAGCGAATCAAGGCCTTACAATTTGTTCTAATTGTACCACATCGTCGAAAATCCAACGATTTGCTCTTTAACACTCCTTCTTTCGAACAAACAAAACTTTTGCCAATTAATTCTCTATCCTTCCCATAATTTGTTGTGCTATTACGGATATCAAAACCTCCGACCTTTCCGTAATTTCTGTAGAATTTTTCAGCATCTTCTAAACTGTCGAAAGTCATTCCTATTTTTGGTTTTAAGTGCTCATCAACAATTGGCACAACTAAGTTATCTAACTGGGATATTTGTTCATCAACAACATGGGAGCAACCATCTTCAGTTTCTATTGGATCAGACATCAAGAACAATTTTTACCTACAAAAATTAACATCAACAACAAACATCAAGAACAAACCATCAAAGACTACTGTGCACAAACATAAACAAATATCTTTCGGCGGTGGGGCTGAATGGCGGAGGGGTCGGAGCCGGACACCGTCGGTAGTCGGTCGGCGGGGGGGATGAATGGCGGAGGGGTCGGAGCCGGACAACGTCGGTCGGCGGCGATGCTTGGAGTCACAGGATCGGAAAGTCTGGGTTGAGAAAGGGGGGAGTCTGGGAGATTTTTAATTGAAATGAGAAGAAGTGGGTTTGGGAAAATGTGTTCTTGTGGTCACGAGATGAGTCTGGGGAGAGAGTGAGTAGAGTCTGCCTCAGCCGTTCTTTCACATCCAACGGTGTACAACGATTTCGCACTGTAATCCGACGCTTGTAATCTGTTGTGAATTTTTACTGTAGCGAGACTGTACTCTACAGCTCTCGTCAACGTCCGGCTGTACGAAGTCGCCTCCGTTCGTCTCGTGCTGATCTCATGTAACTCGATTTACTAATATGATTGATACGGTAGTGAATGACATATACTAAGATGGTACATATGTATTATAGAATTGCTATCGTAAGTAATGATTTATCATATTATGATGAGGATATACTGAGAAATATACATATGTTAGAAGTATCGCAGGATCATTACAACACGCAAACAGCAATCATAGCACATTATATATTTATATATAATAGTATATTAGGAGAGAGTGAGAGAGAGAGATAAAACTTTATGTAACTTAATAGTGGACGATCCACTAATCTTTATCATTGATGATCTTGATGAGCTTTATTTATGGATGATGCCGTATGAACTTTATACATATTCTAACACACACAATTTCGGGTGAACCCTCGTGTTTGATCCTTTCATCCACTCGTAAATAACGTTACGATTACATGATAGTATTATTTACATGGCTCAGGAGGTAACACGACGTTTCACTAATTTGGTGTTTAAGTTTAGTAATATGTAGATCAAGTTCAAACGAGGAGGATCATTCCAATGATAGGTCAACATGGATATCAAATGACTTATAATACATATAGTTGGAGTCCACTTTAAGTGACATATTCATTAATATATATATATAGTATATTATTATATATGTTATATATATATGATATATATTACTAAATATTATATTTATATATGATATATATATATTAGGAAAATGATGATAGCTGGTACCAAGCCGCAAAAATGTGTTGTATGATTAATGTAATGTCCCCATTACCATCTTCAAATTGTTCAATCCCGTGTACTCCTCAACCTATTAAAATTATGATCCCCTATTGGAATAGGAGTAAAGGGGATTGTATTACCTCATACCCCAAAGCAAAAATTTGCTTTGGGGCGACAGCATTATATATGTAATACAAACTTATATAAATCAAATTTATAATTTCTATATATATATATAATATGAATTATTAATTGAGGTGATCCTTATTGTTATAGGAGGGGGATATCCTTCTTGACCGCCTCTAAAATCACATTAGATATTATTGTAAGCGTATATGTGGAATGTATACGCTCCGCTGAAACTTGAATTCTTAATATTCTATCAACCCCAATCAACACCATTATATTATTTTTAAGGTAGAATGGACCGTCGGTCGTTTGACCCTCCATCGAGTCATGTGAAAAGTTCTATTCATTCAAAACCGTTAAAATTGATACGATGGAATGAGCGGTATTGCAGTATGGCTATGTTGTGGGGTCGCATCGTGTGTTAAATTCTATAGATAAATTTATTAAAGAAGAGTAATTTCATTATGAGAGCAAATCCTTAATGATGACAAAACTAGCAAGATGTAGTGCACTATTAATGCGTGTTCGCCATTTTTGAGGAACCTTTAAGGCTAAAGAAGATATTAATGAGCTAGTTTGTCGAATCGAGTGATATCAACGACTCGACATCTAGATTTAATCTCTTCCTAAGCTCAAAAAGATTAAAGAATACACTTAGTATTATATGCGCTACGGAGGCGCCTTCGGTACCGGCAGTTCTGTGATCTGGCGATCATTTTGATTAAATGAAATAGGTTTTAAGTATAATGAAGTGATAACAATTACGGACATTAATCTAATCGTTTATAATCTGACTATGATTTGCATTATGCAGAACTAACACATGTGAGACTTACCCAATATCAAAATCAAACTACCATCTTATCTTCACTGATGCACTTTATAATCACTGTGTGGTAGAGGATAGTTGCTGTGATGGTTTTCTACCGGTAGTGATTGTCAAGTTGTAAATCGATCATTAAAATGACAAAAATTAGATGGTTAGATATGATTTTGTTCTATGAGCTAGCATGATACATACTTAAAGAATTATATAATTGACACCATGCTTTATTTTTTCAATCGTCACTATGGGAACTATAGGTACATAAAAATATTTTATATTTTTTTTTTTGCTCTGTGCTGAAGTATTTATAAATTATAAAAGTTTAGGGTGTTTTTTTTACAATTTTAAAAACTTTTGAGGATATATCTTTTGTAGTTTTCTAAATTTTTATTGTGTTTTTAGTGTAATACATAGATTCATAAATTAATGATGATATTGAAGAGTAAGTCGTTCTTAAGATGTATTATGCTATAGTTAAATGTGCACATCACTATTACTAGGCAGTATAGTTTATACATGCAAAAAATTTCATACAATCTATACAGTGGTTAAAAGGTTTTTTATTTTAATGTACTATTTTTTATAAATTATATTTAATGTGAACCCACTATATAATTTTAATTATGGTCATTATAATTTTAATCGATTGACTATATATGTATATAGACCATAAATTACTTTACTTGCTCGCATGAACTAATATTTGGCACTTAATAGTTTAAATTATTACTTTTAAATTATATTTATTTATTTACCTACAGGATAATACAATTTTAATTCCTATTTTTTGCTTGAGATTTATTTTATAGTTTCGCGTATCAAATTAGTAACTAATAAATAATTATTTATGCTTAAATTAGAATGATTATAGTTGATCACTCACTATGAAATTTTTATGAAGATATATACCTTATTTTCTATAGCTATTTGCACTGCTCATGTATATTTTATCAATTAGTTGTTACTTTTTTGACATATTATATTAATTTTCCTTTGTAAAAATTTCTTCTTTGACTTTTGGATTATGTAATCACTATGTCGCCATTCTAGCGTAGACAGAACATCATTCTAAATGGCTTCAAGCCAATGTTTGAGTTGAACTGAAGTATATATTATTGCTACTATATGTATAAATGTTTTTTAAAAAAATCATGTCTATACTTTTTAAACAGAAAAGAATATTCTAACCTCTGATATTATAAAAATAAAATAGAGTCAATCGAGTGACTAGCTAAAGAGGACTTGCATCAGAAAAGTGTAAATAATAAGATAAAGAGGAAAAGTAATGGCATTGCCAATAGTATTACCAATAGCAAACTACAATGTAAAGTTAACCTACTTTGTGGAGCCCAACTACTGGCTATAAGCATCGAAGTTTCCATATATATACTTTATAATTTATTAAAAAGGGTATATAATCTTATATAATAAAATTGATTTAATACTGAATAGTAGTATCATTGTAAATGAGCAATTACAAAGATGTTAGGGACTAACATGTATGTATTTAAGATTTCAGGATGAATATCTTAATAACCTATTTATATAAGCACACCCACTTTGTCACCTATTCTGTTCACTTTTCTCCTCGCTTATTATCCACCAATTTTGATGTCACGCTTGAAGAGAAATAGAATTTATGTCGGCGAGGTCTTCTCTCCCTCTATCTCTCGATCTCATATTTTTTTAATTAGTTTCTTTAATTCTCTTTTAATAATTTATAATATAATTGCTCCAGGTAAGTGAGTTATAATAGCATTTTCCTTTCACATTGTTTTAGGTAAGATTTGATAGGGACCTTGCATCAAAGAGATTTTTTATATTTAAAGTACATGGCAAAATATATCATAATCTCCCTGCTCTAATTTTACAAGAAAATAATTCTTCATACTTTCAGTTTTACTT